AGGGGAGATGGAAACACATTTGCCGATTAAGCGAACATTTACCTCACATGATCAATCAGGTGTTTTCTGTTATCGGCGTCTTCTCGGATGTTCCCATAATGTATGAAAACACAGCTTGACTCAACAACAGGTACGTGTGGACTGACGAAGAGATGGAACTTTCTGAAAACTTCTCTCCATTGTCCCGTAGGGCTGCCACGATTAATCAATTAATCGACGACTAATCGATTATTAAAATAATCGTTTGTGGCAGCCCTATTGTCCCGAGATGTGTGGTCCCTGCTAGTTTGCAACCTCTACTTCCTGTTTATTACAGCCATGTGCAACATCAATGTCTGATGAAATTATGCTTTGTGTAGCCTGGTTGATTCAGTCCAAACAAGTAGATGGACACATGTTTAATTTGCATCTTTTTTTCTTGCTTTATTTTTTGCGACACTTTAACTTCACTCAACATTTACGTTACAATTGGATGGAATGTCTAATGTGTAAAAAGTTAGATTTTTTTCCTTTTAAAGTTCTCTAAATTGTCTGTATTTTCAATCAGAATAAGCTCAATTAGATTAACCAGAAGCAGCACTTTCAGATAATCCAAAATGTTTAAGAATTACTAAACAAAAGTATTAAATCCTAAATAAATATATATTTTGGGTTTTTCTTTGAAACCCATGGGAAAAACTTTAAATCTCTTACTTTTTAAAAGGTATTTAATTAATGCAAAATTATCGCAAACTCAAAACAGTATATATTGTTGTTCACATTAATAAGTTGTAAAATACTCTGAAAATCTTTTATAATCACCTCTTTGAGCCAGATAAAATAATACAGTATAAAGCAAACCATTTTCACCAAGAATTAAGTAAAGTTGGTAAAAAAAAAAAAAGATTTTATTCCTTGCTTCAGTCTCTAAGCAGCAAGTAAAGGAGATAAGGGTGATGTTTCAGAAATCTTACAATCCATAGTGACGCACTCCATGCCAGCACCTTTTTGAAGCTGTACTATAGAAATAGTTTCCTAATCAGAAGCCTTTTTGTACTAAAGTTGCGAATCCTCGTCACCCTCTTCTCCATTAAAAGAATAAAAGGTAGTGGGGGTGTTAATAATTCATGCCTAATTGAAAGGGCAGAGAAGATATTCCCACCTGTTCTTTTGATGATGGATGTGTCACCCTATTGAGGTTTAATAATGTGGCTCTGATTCATGCCTTCAAACAACCTTAGTGTGAATACTGGACTCTTTGAATACAGAGAATGAAACATGAATGTAACTCTTCTTACATCTTTGGTAAAAACTTGAAGGTTCAAATTTATGTATTCAAGTTGAAGGGTTGTCGTGTGTTTATTTGTTGCAGCTCTGCAGGACAGGGGCTGGAGGAGGAGGCCGGWGGAAGGAGCAGACAGCGACACAACCGTCACAACAGAGATGGAGGAGCAGGAAGTCTGGAAATGAGGTTGGAGGAGCTGGAGACGGTAAATACACTGAGCCGTGTGCATCCACTTCCACTTCCACATGAGCTGATAGAAGTGATTTATAAAATAATGCTGCATGAGCTGGACCTTCTTTCTAAATAGAAAGTAAACACCACCTGGAAGACATGGGTTTGTATTTTGTTGTAGACAAAAAGCAGGTGGTCTTCGTTCAGCCACAGTAAACACTGTTTGCCTCTCCGCTATGAGAAGGTCAGGCTGTTGGTCCTCAGAGATCTTCAAGTTTTTCTTGTCAAACAGACATCATATTTAGAGAACGTCAGACATCTCTGGGCGGCTGAAGAGCAGGACCAGAAAGTGACAGGTTTAATTCCTCATGATGCCTACATATTACGGTGTCTTTCAGCAAGACACCTAACCCCCAGCTGCTCCCCACAGAAGAACTTCCATAATGAACATAAACAACGGCATAGACGTTACTGTACTACATGATTGAGCTACAGCCAAAACATGTGTCTTTGTTTTTTTATGCAAAGCAATGCAGGCTGTTTGTTTTCCTCCTTTACTGGAGGAGYGAGTGGGAGGAAATGAACATCCTTGAAAGTTTGGTGCTGCTGACAACTATAGTGCCGCTGCCCCTCCGTCTCTCCACAAAAGAGCAGAAACCAGTGGATCGTCAGGTTGACATGGGGTGCACATGCATAGTCAGGTCACAAGTCCACAAGCAGAATAACATGAGCAGAATAAGTGTTCACATGCACACTTTTAGCATAAACCACCCCTCTCATTCTAATTACAAATTAATTCGGATCAGATCAGAATAGTCCGATTGGGCGATTACATGTCACAGTTTTATTCCGATTGGTCATTTATTCTTATTACTTGTGTCCATGTAAACCTAGCTAGTGTGTTCATTAGAGATTCATTAATTTTTTTTTCTAATTACGTGTTTGATGTCAGTAAAGGATTCAAACAATGTTAGCTTTGCTGCTATTGAGTTACCATCTTCCTGCTTGACAACTTATTAATCTTTATTTTATTTTTTCTTTATTATTATTATTTTCATACATTTTAAAGTAGCTGCGGCCACATTGTAGCTTACCACCATCAGTGTGTGAARGACTGATTGTCGTGTGAAGCCCTCTGGAACCGTTGCACTTGATGAAGTGCTATACAAGTGCAGTCCGTTTACCATTTATTCATGGGAGCAGATGAGGTGGTCCAAGTGCCTCACGCAGCTGCACTCTATTTAACATAAATTGGGGTGCATGAAGGAGAAGAGCACCAAAATATGCTCGAGCATGGTTTGATAAATCAAAATATTTCTGTGCTTACGTACTTTTCGAGTTTTGTCCGTACACCACTTGCCAGTGTGAAAACTCTGCACTTTTTCCATWCGAGGCCTCAAATCTGCACAACTTCCCTGCCTGTCTCCTCAACAGAACTRGGAAATCTAAAATTTCAGTACCCTGGTGGTAGATATTTCCTTTGAGACCCAGATTGTGGGTTTCGGTACACGTGAGCTTCATCGGATTGTCAACTTTGAAGCCCCAATAAAAGGAGCTTTGTTCAGGCGAATTTCCAATTTGACTCTTTTAGTGTAGCTGCAGAAGTTCTGACTTTGTGTCTGATAACTGCTGTTCTGCCGTGGCAGAAACTCTCTATGCTGTGGGAGAGATGACCTTTAACAGCGCAGATATGTCTTTTCCCTCTACACCGCCCCTATCAGACACTCAACCTCTCACTGCTCCCTGCAAAAAATAAATAAAAATAAAAAAAAACCCTCAGAATCAAATGTCACATATGTGGTTTTTGAAAAAAGCTTTTTAAAATAAGTACTGCTGTGACCTTCCCTGACTTCAGCGAGAGGTGCTTCTCAGGGTCAAATGACTAGAAGCGGCTTTGAAACAGTATTTCACACTCCTCTTTTTGTGCAGATTGTTTATTTGGCTTTCATGCACACGGTCGAGCTTTACATGACATCTCTTTTGTCAAAAATATATATAAAAAAATGCTCTCCCTCGCTGGAACTTTGAGTCCTTGCAGAAAAACGCTCACAAGACAATCACAGCTGCTTCTCATTTAAACATCTCGCACAAAGCTGTCTGCTCTCATAAGAAAAGTCAAGTTGGAGCCAGGTCAGAAAGAACATTGCGAGCCTTTAACAATGATACCATAACGGACAAGAAACGCTCATTTTTGTGTCGGTTTAAAGGGTGCCCTTGGCAGAATAACTGTAAAATACCTATTTTAAAAGCTACGATGAGTTACTTATCGAAGCATATTTATGTCCTCCACTATATTTTACCCATGGCTGTACCTTCACGATTGGTCACTATGGAAACAACTTCATATCTATTTGCAACAGCAAAGGAGGGGTGAAAATGTTGAATGTGGAACTCCTGTTCTGATCATCATTTCCATAACAATAGAACAACAGTTTGAAAATGTGTTCGCCTTAATTTAATGTGTTTATAGTCCGAGTTCGGTCCTTCTGTCTCCCTCTCTGTCTACGGAACAATATCCGTTTAATACAAGCTGTGGGAGGAGGCGGACAGTAAAAACTGACTTTCAGGTACAATTTTCTCCATGAAAGGATGTTTTTGTTCACAGCATTCCATTTAATATTGTGGGTTTGAAAGAGGCTGTGGAGCTCAGAGAAATAAAATTATGCCTTATTAAACCTGTCATTTCAAGAAAAGTCAGTACAGTGAGTTGATCTTTAATTGTGTTTTGGCAAATAAGTTCTACTGAGTGTTTTTTCTCAGCCTGAGTCCTGGTAAAGGACTATATGAGCTATTTGATTTAAAGATTAAGGAGCAGCATTAAGAAAACAAGTGAGCCCAGATTTACTCTTCTGTTCAAAAGCAACTATTACCATATGTTAAAGTTCTTTAAACAAGTGTTTTTTTTTTTAGAGTTTTCATCATGGAGTTCATTTGAAGAATTACAAGACACTAAAGACCCCTTCATTCACTATCTGAATCTGTGCATTTCACTCTCAATGATAAAGTTGCGTCTCACAGGGGAAGTTTTGTGTGATTGGTCAGACGTTTGTGGGCATGTTTATGTGGAAAAGAGCTCAAAAAAACAATGGCATTTGGCTTCGATGACTGCTCTTCCAAAAGCTGGCTGTTGTGCGTTCAAACAACAAGGATATTTTTGAGGAGGAGTTGTACAAGGCAGTCAAATTACATCCATATATATGACTTTTACAAACARTTGTAACAGGGTTCCTGCAGATCCTTAAAAAGTCTTAAAAGGCATTGAATTCATCAATCCAAAATAAGGCCTTAATTAGCTTTAAAATGTCTTAAATCAATCTTTCAGAAGTCTTAAAAATGTTAACACATTGTGWATAGGATGAKTGTAATTCGTCTCAAATACTAAAATAATTGGTAACATTTATTTTTTTAAATATTTACATGCAGACATTCTCCTTTGACATCACTTCCTGTTATTTCACATGCAAATATTTCAGCAACTGTCCATCTGAGCGATGTGAAATTTGTTTTGTAATATGTTGATAATGTTGTCTTTCCAAAAATGCGTTCACTTTTCTTACAAAAAATGGATGTCACGGACACAAGGTTTCATCTAAAGCAAATTGGGGTTAAGACCCCACTGTGGGTCCTAAAACTCCAAATTTTGGGTCGTTAGACTGACTGCTAAGAATGTTTTTGCTATGTTTGACAAAAAAAAAAAACCAGTTAGATATGGATTAAAACAGCTGGTCTATTAGCAGTATTTGAATATGTCAACCAAAAATACTTTGATTCATGAGTTTCTGCCACAGTTTCATTCTTTTGTTATTTGTGTTTATTATGAAATTGGTCTTAAATTTAATTTCAGTTGGCATTAAAAAGTCTTAAATTTAACTTGCTTTAAACTGTTGGAACCCTGTGTAAAAATGGCCGTTAATTCCTGGATAAAGATGGAACTGACATTGTGCATGGAAAAGTGTGGCWCTCTATCCATGACAGAGTTGTGGCCAAATGTAAGATATCGGGACTCGGTTGTTTGACTTTGGATAGAAAATGCTACACCTTGACACATTCAATCCAAAGGAGAGATATGTTTAAAGAAATAACCTTCAWAAAGTTATTCATGTCTTTAAAATTGTTTAGTTTGTATTGGCAAGAATCTCAATGAAAAAGACCGAAAGACACAATCTTAGAGATGGACTTAAAAATGCCAATTCTAATCTTTATCCTGACAGCTTGCTTACAATAATCACCCCTAGTTTCTTAACTGATACTGTTGAACAATACTGCTCACTTTCTGCTTGTTTGCAGGTGTAAACATACTACTTGTATTTTAAATAATTATTTATGTGCGTTTTCAGGAACTTGCAAGAGAGGTTCAGGAGAACACCAGGTTGTTGAAGGCCCAGCAGGAAAAGGATGATCTGATTATGAAACTGAAGGAGGAAATCGACCTGCTGAACAGAGTGAGCAAACATTTTTACCAATAATCGTACAAAACTTTTGGGAAACTTTTGTGTATGCATAGGGTTATTTAATTTTATTGAAGCTGCGTATGGCACGAAGGTCTGCGTTTTTAGGTTTTGTTTTGAGAATCCTGAACAGTGCTTTTATTTTTTGATTGACATAATGAAAAATGAAGTTGTTTGTGTGATTTTAATTTAGAAAACGTGCGACAAAAACATTGACAGACTTGTTCGGACTTCTGATTGTGATCATGAAAAAGCTGATTGGTTAAACAAATTCCCACACAGAACAAAAGCTTTGTCTGATTTAATCCTTGAGTTTTTTAACTTTATGATTGAAACCGCCAAGTCAAATTCAGCCTCACTTTTCCCTTGTAGTTATTAAAATAAAGCTAAGGGTCCAACAAGAATCATCGCCAAATTACAAGTTTGCCAACTTTCCAATTAGTGTGGTATTGTCAGAATTGCACTGACAGAAGGCAGAGATTACAGTCAGCCACCATTTAAAGAAAATATGTTATTTCACAGCTGGACTCCCTCTCCAAAAAAAAGGTGCTTTAAAGCTCACTGTGCACAGCAGGATACAGTTTAATCTTTATTATTAAATCATTCCACAATCAGCCAAATGTTTTCCTCAGTGGCAAACAGATAAGATTCTGCATGATACTCAAAAGGTCACCCTCCAGTGTGTCACCGTGGTATTAAATAATTAGTTTTTACGACAGGATTTTGAAGCCATAAGTGATGTGTGTATAATTGGTGGGGTTCTCCCTGGTGTAAACTTTGCGTGCGGTGTTAATTACATGCCAGGTACTTACAGTAAAGGTCATTCTTGTTCTCTTTGTGCCTTCTTTATGATAATATTTCTTTGCTCACCTGAAAGTATTACTTTTTATAAACGTCAAAACAAAAACATACGTACAGGACGCAAAACCAGAATTTAGAAATAGTTTGTTTTCAAATGAAACCCAGTTTCCACAGTGACATTAAAACAGTAGTTTACWTGGAAAGGTTTAGATTTCTCTTTGTTTGAGGTGAAAAAAATGGAGTTACTCTGAAWGCAAAGTAGACCAAAGTACTACAATCTGAAGCAGTTTATGCAAACACTATTTTATCTCACTGTCAGTTTCACATTACTCAGTTGTTTACACAGAATATTACAGTTATGTCAAAATATAAAAAGCTGGGGCAACAGCTAGCTGAAACGCTTTTGCTACATCTCCAGGAATATATTAATCCCCACATTTCTGAAATCTTAGTTTATGGATACTGTTTGTTTTTTTTTAAATAAAATAACTTCATCTGACATTTAAAACTGCACAGCCTTAATTAAAAGGTGAAATATGTGACAAAGCTAACAGTAAAAAAAAAAGGATAAAATTCAAACTCTCCTATCTTTCTCTGATATCCGTAATAAAACAGGTAGAGTTCATTGCAAGGGAAATAATGACATTTCAGCCACTAGATGATGAGCCAATTTCTATAATGGAAGGTTTCATCTTATTCACATCACCAGAGCCATAATATGTAATACTGAGCAGGACGTACTAGTTAGTTGTTAATTCAAGTCACACACACACACAACCTGCAGACTGCACGACAACACTTTACTGTCAGACYTATGGTTACAAAGACCCGGGGAAGGTTGGGAGAAAATTAAAATTCATCTTTCAATGTTGAACAAATATGGCAGATCACAATAGATATACTAAATGTGTAATCTAAAATAAAATTGGGGGCTGCTTTTTACAGTTTAATTTTTTTATTTATTTTTTTTGCAGAGGTTTTTTTTTTTGCATTCGTTACAAATCATTGGTACAAGGTTTTGGATTTTTGTACTTTCATGCAAAAACAGTATGATTCAAAACATTTAGTTGATTCCAGTTTGAACAGAGGTGGCTAAGGAACATACAAAAAATCATAAGCATTTGAAGACAAATGTCAAGTTCAGGAAAATTATTGATCTTATAGTCGACTCGCAATACCCTGCCTACGATATTGTGTAGCATTAAGCCAATAACGATTAATCTGACAATWATTGGATTACAATTAGGGGTGTCCCGATCCGATATTGATATCGGATATCGGTCCGATATCAGCCAAAAAATAAGTATCGGATTTTATCGGCCTGCATAAAAAATGTCCGATATAAGCGCTCCGAWATTAGCAGTCCGTTCCAGCAGTTCACTGARTCCGCTCCAGTGTTTCTATCCAGCAGCGCTTGGATCCAGCATGCAGCGCTCACGTGATCACAACAACATGCAGCACTAACAAGTTAGCAAGAATGTCGGCAGAACTTTCTATTTTCATCAGAAACAGAGTTGAAGCTAAGTGTAAAGTTGTCATGCACAAGTTTTCCGAGGGGAAACACAGAACCGTGTACGTTTTAAACCGGAGCGACAACTACTCTCCACCCTGGCAGCAGCTTTGCGGTTCGGCTCGGTTCAGCCTCGGTCCAGTGACCGCACACAGCCGCGCTGTTTCGGAACCTCCTCTCTGGTCCGGTCGGTGGTTCTAAGCTGGCAGAAGCGAGGACAGCACGCTTGTTTTGACATCCGTGGATTAGCTCTTGATGGACAGAAGAAAGGAGAGCGCAGCTTTTGTTTTGGAATATGAGCGACATGACGAGAGCAGTGATAAAAACTGCTCCCTGCAGGAGTGAGAGGCTGATCTCCACATGATGCTCAGAAAATGCAGCAGTAAGAAAGGTAGCTATCACTTTAAATAACTGACTAATTCTTACTATTTATTTTTTGCACTTGTTTTAGAGTGATGTTTAATCTGTTTACACACTTGTTTGAGTGAAGATTAAGTGCAATGATCACATTGTTTTAGTTACAGTCAGTAAAATTGGAGCTGTGGACTCTTAACTTTGAACAGACAATAATGTGGGGTTTTGTTTTGTCCCCACCTTCAGTTTTTTCCACCATAAAGCAGCACCAGGCTGACAGGTAGTAAAACAATAACCGAAGTGATTTTGAATTGTTATTTTACACTTTAAAATAACATTTTGTTTTTATTATGTTTTATTTTTCAGGGTATTATAATTTATTTTATAAAATTGTATAATGTTCTTCAGTTTAAAATGTATGTCATCCATTGGTTAAAAATAAATGGGTCAGTTTTTCTCTTATCTACTCTTTTTCACTGTTTGATCTGATCAAGACTTTTCTAAGATTTTACATTACAAAATAGGTAAAAGTGTGTGACTTGTACTGTTATGGTAACGGGTCAATATCGGTATCGGACAATTCTCAAAGTTGTAATATCGGTATCGTATCGGAAGTGAAAAAGTGGTATCGGGACATCCCTAATTACAATTGCACTTACATGTGGCTGACCTGGTTCACATTTTCTGGCTTTCCTAGTACTCCATTTTATGTTGGTGTTTCAGGTGAATAAACAAGTTAGTAGGGTTAGCATTAGTTGCTCAGTGCTGCCTTCCACGATTGGYCTCACATGCGAGCCTGATAGCCATGGTGTGTCTCACACAAGTGTACATCATCACCCAGCACTAACTGCAGTAAATGKAAAATGGAAAATATTAATWGGTAATAAGATTTTGCCCAACCCTACATTTTACATTAAAGTTAACCCACTAGCCGAGGTTGTGTGTGTTTTTTACTTTTGACTCCAGGTTGGCAGACGTACCTTTATGTTCACTGATCGAAATCTCTCTGAACCTTCCAGTCAGGCTGTCAACTACTCCTCCCTAAACTCCTAACCTTTTTCTGTGTTTCCTGGATCCACAGGGCTAGCTGGTACAACACACATCTCTTGGCATCTCTACAGGGCAAATATGGCAGAGATTTAAAAAAAAAGATTGTCTAAAATATTCAGAGAAAACTGATTCTTCCTCTTCCCACGCAGAGCCAGTCTGAATCGAAACAGATCAAGCTCTATCAACACAAACCAGTCAGGGATTTGAACATTTTTAGCAACAAGTCAAATAAATGACTGTCTCCTGGTTATTATCTGGACACTTTTGTTGTGGTGACGGACACCACATAACCCATCAGCAAACACAAAGGGTGTAATATTGCAGGAGGCAGCAGTCTGATAGCATCACAGGGACGTGCGGCCGGTCATAACAGGAGAGCTTTATGTGAGGACGCAGCGAGAGGCGGGAGAAATATTAGTGAAAGAGGCTGCTGCAGGGCCCGGTGTCAGACAGGAGATAACAGATGATCCAGTCGCATCTCTGCAGAGCAAGACTGAATCCTCAGACACCGTGGAAGTTTATTTGGATGAAAGAAAAGATAAACCTCAGCTGGTGGGTTTGTATCTCCTCCTTGATAAGCTTTCAATGGAGAACTTCATGTTCCAGAGTTCAGTTTATCTCGCAGCGTTATTGATACAGATTAGATCAAACATCTAATGTGAGGAGTAGTTTGAACTTCAAAGAACAAGTCACCACTTCTTTACTCATTACCTTTAGTTTTTTGTTCTTTCCAAACTCCTAAGGTAACATTAATTAGAAGCAAATCACAGTTTTTTGTTGAAACTTTCATTGTTAAAATTATTTTTTTTCATATTTATATATTTTCTTTTCTTTCTCAACAGCTAAAGCTGTAGAACTGACCAACTACAAAAAAAAATAATAAAGAGCAAATTTAGAACAATAATAATAATAAACAGTTTTTTGTTTGTTTTTGTTTTTTGCTAAACAGTACAAATATCCAGCCATGCTRTTTTTCTGTAATCTGGAACAAACTGTAAATGTATGCAAGTTTTTGTAGATATTGCTGTTCTGTAGTATTTTTTAGTTATTTTTATTGCTTGGATTTAAAGAGACAGCATCAATACGAGTTCATCTGAGATGCACATCAGAAAAGAGGGGCTTGTGGAGTTACAATAAGGGGGAATTCAGACCAAAGCGTTGCAGTTCTACTTTATATAGACTCCAAATGAATGATTTAATGTGAAAAAGAAGGATTTTAAAGCAGGTCATGTCTACTTAAATTGAAATTTGTGGATTCTAAATGTTTGTTTATTTATTTATTTATTTTAACTTAAGGAAATGATTAAGAATGATGTATTTCTATTACTGTAAGCCCCCGAGCACCAAAACCAGTAGAAACTAGTGATAATTGATCTTAGTGTTAAACCCACTTGACTTAGTGCTCATAAACATAGTGCCTAAGTGACATACATAAAGGGTTGGCTTTATTGTCATTATTTTAATCAGTCTCCTCTGTAGCAGAAGTAACATGCGGTGTATTAACTCACCACCATCTCAGCACAGCTTTTTAATTTCCTCTTAAAGTTGTTCAGTTTATTCTCAACAGCCTCACTATCACGTCGGTGACTGAGGCAGCTGAAAATGAAGAGTGTCAGCTTTATGAGACGGAGCTGTGCCAACTAGGTGCCTTCATCATTTGTAACTAATCAATCCCGTTAATGTTTAATTTGTTGCCATCATTGTGTGGTGGAACTAATACTTTTATGTTTAAGCTAGTATTTCGTGACATCCTTTAATAACCTAGGTTTTCATGACATGCTGTTCATCTGCAGACAGAATGATTAAAGTCAGAACAAGATTTGCTAGCAACAGTCATTCTTAGATACTGTATCACTTGTGTTTATCGTTGTGTTTTCCATTGATCTTGTATCCAATCTTGCTAAGATGACAGAATGGTGTTTGTTAATATATATATGAGGCCTCTTGAGTGAGTGACACGGTGTTCAACAGTGGACACAGTGGAGAGTGGAGAGACAGAGAGAAGCAGAGGCACAGAGACAGGCCAGGTTGTTCTCTGTGTTTCCTGTTGTTGCAATAAAACTCAGCTGATCATCTCACGGAGTTCTTGGACCACGTATTTCTGTCTTTGTTAAATAAATATTGCCATAACAGTTGCATCGCTGACTGAAGGGGGGGGGGGGTCATGTCAGTGAGTAGCGCTCATTCTACCTCTCTAACTCTGTGCTAGACTTTTTTTTTCGTAAAGGGTGGCACAGGGTTGGGAGCACYTACTAAAAAAGAAAATCACTGTATTTGAAAATTCAAAATGGCCACCACAGCTAATTCTAAACAGATTTATTCACCTGTTTTAAGAAACACTGAGCTGAAATTTATTCATTTTTAGACATATAAAGCTAAAGATTAGTGTAGAAGTAGCCAAAAACAATTATCAAGTTCTAAATGCTAATAAAAAAATCTAAGTGGCCACAACAGATGACTTCTAAAGGCTATAGGTCAGTCATTTGATACTTTTTGAGTTTAAATTAGTTGTGGAGTAGATGAGAATGATCACATGCCGATTGCTAAACCAAAATTAAYCTAACCATTAATGCTAATTTTACAAAAGTGCTTTAATTCAGCCATTAAAAAAAACAGCTGAAAACTTAAATATTACAGTAGTATCAGAGAACAATACAAAATCCAAGATCCCCACTCACTTGTCAGTTGTATGGGGGTGGCACCTGGGGTGGCCAATCAGGTGCAAGAGGTGGCTCTCTGGCTCCACCCCTGGCACAGACTGAGCAGAGTGTTGAATATTCATGTGGCTCAACGTGTGGCAGGAGGTACAAACCGCCGTGTGCTGTGCCCTCTCCTCAGGACCTGGACGACATTGAAGACGAGAACGAGCAGCTCAAACAGGAGAACAAGACTCTGCTGAAAGTCGTGAGCCAGCTGACGAGGTAGAGCCGCTCCGCACGACACGGCCAACACGACCTTTCACCTGACGTCCTCCTCGGGGTCACGTCCAGCAGGGTGGCCTTGTATGTCTGATTCAGTGTAGGTGAGACTTAAAACTGGTCATCCTCGGAGGCTCACAGCCTTTAAAAAAAAGAAAGAAAAAGGAAAAAAAAGTGTATTCTCATTGACGTGAAAGCTAAGCCGTGCAGTGARGATTGTTTGTCATCTTATACATATTTAATGTAAATGTCTTGTATATAGGTCATTTAGATTGTTCTTTTTTTCCTGTTAAGGTTTTAAAACAAAAATAAAATAAAATGAATGTATCTGCTGCAACAACCAGCACGACAAAACCTTGTTTAGATGCTAAAATATAGACTCTTCCACTTTGTGCACACGCAAGTTAGTCACACAGATCTTCAGTGTTCGAATTGTTTTCTATTTAGAARCAAATTCAACACTCACTGCTACAGTATCAGCAGCCAAAGTGGGCTTAGTGCCTTGCAATGCATGAGACTTTTTTATTTTTTATTATTGTTGTATGATTTCTGAAATAGTTAGAGCCTGGTGCTTTATTAGGGAACACTTCATTTTTCTAACTTCTTGGTACATTTCAATCCAACGGGACCTATAAACCTGATTAAAAGTATGTTCAATAAAATATTCAAATCTGTATTGATTATGTGCCTAATGCGTTTCAACATCTCATTCCTGTTGTTTGAACGCTTTAGGGGTGTTTACAAGTTGCTGCAACGTTTGAACGATTTTCATCTGCATCTGAACCGTGTGTTGTTGAACTTTTTTTTTTTATGAAAACCAAATGAATAGAAGGAACTTGATATTTGAAACGGATTGTTGCTTCAAGGGAACAGGCTTGGCCGCTCGCGCCTGGATCGTTTTATTCCTCCTGTGGTAGTTTTTAAGTCACTTGTACAATCGCGCATTTTCGGGTAAAGAGCAAGAAGCTCGCAGACGAACACAGAGCTGTCTCTCTTTTCCCATTGCATTATGCATGTACAGAAGATTAAGTCATTTAATAAAAGTTTGATTATCTCTCTCCTCGGTCGACTCGCCTGTGTTCATTAAGGCTAATTTGATGTGATGATACCATGCCACTGAGTCGGTAATGCAATGTGACGGTGGTAGAGGGGCTTTAGTTCCTCCTCTTAGCTCTCAGCACACACACACACACACACACACAAATAGATGATGATGATTCAACATGCCAATCATCGAACTGACTGTAGCCGGGACATGAAACCCCATCTAGACTGCAGAGCTTATTATGCAACAGAAACGCATTAATAACCTCACCTAGTGACAGAGTGGAGGAGTGAAGAATCTATATTGGACTAATGTTCACTAAATTTTCAGATAAAGGCCTTTTTCAGAGCTTGGAAAGTGCTGGCGGCTCTCTCCATAATCCCTATTAGCATTTTTATGGAAAGTTGCCGGGTTTGTCATTTCTGAATAGTCAGAGGGCACAGGCAATCCATATCTGCCTTTTGGTTTGTCAGGATAAGCAGCCGGTCTGCTCTCAGCAGCTCCATCAGACCTCCTGCAAAGTTCAGCCGTCGTCAGAATCCTTTCAGTCTCATCACAGCGCCGCAAATTACAGGTTCCTCTACACATAAAACCGTTTGTCATCACCTCGCCAAGTGGATGGCTTAAAAGTTTGAAGCACTACCGAGACGTGTCAGCATCAGGACCATTTTTAAGATGCTGTGTTGTCTCAAATAGGGGTAAAATGGTGTTTCTGTAGGTGGTTGTAGCAACATTACAGACAAGCATCGGGGGAGCTTTTACAGACATGTTGGCATAACCCGCAGTAAATGTCACGCCTAATGTCCTTTCGCCCGAGTGACAGCATCGTGCGGTTGTCAGGGATCGTAACCTTGTAGATGCTTAGCAACAAGGATGATTTATGCTGCCTGGGAAAAAAAATTTTTTTTTTCAAATTTGGATGTCCAAAAATATAATCCAAATACCTCTAAATGCAACTTTGCTCACATTCAACCATGCTTTTGAGCTGCACTTTTTAGTCTGTACAGTCTTAACAGGCAGTGCTTTTTATCTGGCACACATGCTGCCCCGTCACACTGATGTATTGTTTTCCTCAAGGACACGTCAACACGTGGACTGGGATGCCGTGGACCGCACCACTGACCTTCCCACTGGCAGCTCAGTCTTCCTGAGCCAACGTATCAGTTAATAGTTCTTCACTTGGCCGTAGAGCAGATAGCGATGCCTGTGTTTATCAGTGGCGCTGCTTTGAGTTCATGTCCAGTTTTAGTGAAAATAAGAAATGCGCAGAGATACAGATGTGGCTACTTTTGGCTCTGCTACATTAATGGTTGAATTGTTTCCATATAAGGTTGAATAGCTTTAATAGTATTTTAACTAAACTCAATTAAAATAGAAATGCACCTTCATATTACAGATCTACTCCTGAGAGGTGAGCTCTTGAGTAGAGATGATCACTAACTAAAGTAACTTAATACAACTCAGATACATATAAAACATTACATTTATGGCTCATTTCTTTGTAAACATGATGAAATGGCTTAAAACGGTGACAGTGCTATTTTTGAAATGAATCATACACTTTAAAATTGTTAGAAAATGCAAATTTTCTTACAATTCTTAGTTTGTGATGGTATTTCTAACATGTCCTGATGCATCTCAATAATCCAGGGTAAAAATCCCCCCCCCCACCCCCATTAAAAAAAGGTGAGTGGGTCCTCTTTATGGGCCCTAACAATCAGTCATCAATGGTCACCATTAAACGTTACCATTAAAATTGACCTGTAACCCCTCTGACTTGGAAAAGAGGTGAAACGTTTCAACAAGGAAGAACCCATCTGGAGGACCTACTCACCTTTTAAAGATCTTTCTAACATGTTTTTGTACATTTTAATCAATCCTAAAAATTAAAAATGCCCCTACAAAGGCCTTCCCCCACAAATGGCTTTGTAAGATAGTTTGCATCCTCTATTGGTAATGGTGCAAAGTAATTTCTTTAAAGTACAAAAAGGTTTCCACAAATGGTTAGAGGAAAAGAGGAAAAACCAAGAGGAACCCAAGCATCTAACCAGATACTTCTGGTACAGACATCTGGACCAACACTGCCTCCAATACTTCGTGGTAAGCACAAAAGTAATCTCAGGTAAGCAATGTTGGAAACTTTAAGCCTTTTAAATAAGACAGTTTTGTAAATGTAAAGGGTCACATGTAAAACAAAAGATGACACAGAAATTTGGGTCTTATTCTGTTTTGGACAGTTTGTTACATTTTTTAGCATAACCAAAGGATTGTCCTGCAACCAAACAAGTATTTGGGGTACTTTTTAAAATTATTACTACTATAGTCTTCTGTAGTACTGTTTCAATTTGGCATGTCGGTGCTTGTGTAGATGTATCCTCTTCCACAAAACACATAAATGTCGAGAGGCTTCGTAGGTAGGCCAGAGATGAGAGGAAGCAAGCCTTGTTCTTGAAGATACCTGGAAACATTTCATTATCGCTTGGTTTCATGTGGGTTCTCCAGCCAATCTTCTCCATTGCCAGGGTACCCCCCGGTGCAACGAGGCGCTCATCCGCACGAAACACGGCGGGGGGTCAGGACGCCTGAAAGAGTGAGACCAGATGGATGGAATGATACTTGATGTGTTTTCTTGCAATTTCCTCTGTTCTTTTTTTTTCCAGCTTTATCARAGTCGACCGTTTTCTCCACCAGCAGCCTGAAAATGACCACCTGCGAACCTTTTATACCTCATCATCCAAAACCAAGAAATGTCTCGGGTGCTGCTTTTAAAGCCAGTGCTCACACGGTGCCATCGCTGGCTGAAAACTTGAATTGAATGCCTCTTCTTCCTTCCAAGGAGGATGTTGCAATCTCATTGAATGTTTTAAGTGAAAATATTTCCGTCTTTCACTATCAAAATCCTTTTTTTTTTTTTAGGTTGGAGTCATGCTGTTTGACCAGCTGTTCTTGCGAAGAAAACCAGCAGCTTGTTGGAGCCGTAAAATTGCAATAATGAGACATCAAACGTTTCATGTGCACTTTCCTGAATACCTTGGCCACATGTGGAGCTGCCCTTTGTTAAAACGCTCTGTAAAAGTCAGTGGGATACTAAAAGTTCACAAACAGAAAGAAAATCAACTAATGACGGTCCAAATGCGTGACATTTACCAAATGGCATAATTTAGCTCATCAGGCCAGAACTCAGAATATTTGCTTTTGATGGCAGACTTTTTTAGTAGGAAGAGAAGCTAAATTTGCCTTTCTGCATAAAAAGGAAACAGTTACTGTAGTCAAAACTGCATTAAGTAGATTGCTTTATGTTAAGTGTGATGTTTTGTCCAATGTTTTCATGCATCTGTGCGCAATTGTCTTCAGAAAAAGGGTCACAAAGTGCATTTAAAGTGAGATTTGACATTACTTATGTCCTACATCGTTTTTTCACAATAAAATGTTATTTTTCCACACAACTTAAACACCACAGTCTATGAACAACCGTAATGCTGATGCTTTAGATTCTTGAAATCCTTTGATGGTATTTGGAAGTGAAATACCACCATGGAACATTCTGACGTTGTTCCACAATTTTTTTATTTTGTTTTTTGATTACGAGCTGTCGAGGATAAGATTCACTTTTTTTTTTACAAAATGGTGAATCTCTGCCCATCTTTACAATGTCCTTTCTATATTCTGTTCCCTTATTGAGCTGTTGACAATTAGCTCCTCTACCTATTTTTTTTATTTATTTACRTTTACAACCTTTTTTTCCGCTGACCCAAAATTCCAATTCAAACTTCTTCTCTCCCCACCCAAATAAAACGGGTATAAGCTTTTAAACTTTTCTTGTTAATCAAATAAATTTATGGGATTTGCAAATCATTGCATTCTGTTTAATTCTTTACACAACATTACAACTCAAGATGAAGTTTCTCTGAAAATCTAAGCAGCGTGTTAAATAAAACTTTGATGCTTTTGATGCAACAAAAAAGCTAAATTGACACAAGTAACCCTCAAGTTTAATTGAAAATGATTGCCTTTCTTATTACAGAAGACTCTTTTCTTTGTTGTTTTGAAACTGCAATGTAAATGCTCTGAAGGTGATTTAAATATTCAATCTCAACAAATTGAGAGAAAAATTCAAGTGTAGGCACTGAAGATGTTTTTAAAATAATAAAAAAAGGATTTTATAGTTTGATACATTTCACGTCATGTGTGCACTTAACATAAAATGTAAAAACTGTTCAGATCCATGTAGAGCTGCGAGGCTGTTTTGTTTTCTACACACATTTCATCAGAGCAGCTTCAGTGCTGAGCCATCATGCAGCAGAGGGCTGAGGATGACAGCRTTTAGAAGCTCGTTTCTCCTTTGGGAATCAAGTCGTCTTCTCCAGAGAAGCCTTCCTGGCCAAAGAGGGGTTACCAAGGCAACGCGATGTGTGTATCCTGATCGATGCTTTGAAAGGAGCTAGAAAAACAAACCCACTTCTGCTTGTCAGTCAGGCTAATGTGTAAYCAAAACCCCACGTCGGTGAGAAAAATCAGGTTTCGTTCCTGTAATATGCGTTGCTGAATCTGAGCACGTGAACTTGTGCAGTTTGTCGTTTGTTCTGCCTCCTTGAAGAGGCTGTTCCTCACCAGCGGGGGGCAGCGTCCCCAGCCCGGAGCACCATCAGTGCCACAGGGAGAGGAGGCCTATCATGGCAGGCTTATGTGCTCAGTGATCCCTGGTGACAGTCTCTCCTGGTGGAACACCCTGGCAGAGGTTAGTCGTTGAACACAGGCCAAGAAAGGTGTCATTTTATGTTCGACTCACAACTACGTCCTGTTCCATTCGTTTCTATAAGCTCAAGGTGCTGATTGAAATGCTTAYAATCAATGAGAAATCATGATTTTCGATTCTGAATGTGTAGTAATTCCCATGATAAATGTCTACCTGCTGAATATGCAGTTTAAGTTGATGCCATTTCCATCGTTTTTCCACATTTGCTCATCCATTTTAATAAGGTCCGATCCTCTGGAGAGGGAGCATGTGAATTTGA